TCATATATTAAAACAAACAAACCCGGGGTGGTTTTTTTTTCCTGTTGTGTTAGGAATAGAAATGAAAAAGTGGAAAAATTCAGAACAATCTCTTAGAAGAGTGGCTTGAATAAAATGATTTTACTATCCATCTGAAGGTTCCTATATCTGATATGTTAGGGAGAATTCTGATATGAATAAAACTTAGGTGCCTAAAGCCTTCAACTAAGAACACTATCTTGATTCTTGACAATTTAATTCTAGGACAACTGAAAGCATCAGCTGAGGATTCAGCGAAGAAGTAAGTTTAAAAAAAAAGCATACTAAAAAAGGTACAGTAAACAAAAGCCAAATGAAGATTTGCATTATCATTCCAACCGCTGTTTATTATTTTAATAATTAATAATTATAATTTGGTTGTCTTTCATATAGTATTCCCAAATTACAAGCCTCCCAATTTTTTTTTTTTTGGTATCAGGGATCAAACTCATGACCTTGCACCACAGAGGCAGGTGTGGTGGTGCCATTGAGCTAAATTCCCGGCCCTTACTTCCCAAATTATTCAAGTGATAACACAAGGTAAAGATTTAAATGGATCTGATGGTCCTCCTAAAACCTTTCAATATGGCCAACCTCATAGGGTTGGTTTTCTATGGCAGCTGTTACAAATTATCACAAATTTCACACTTAAAATGCCAGAAATTTCATTCTCTGAGCTCTGGAGGCCATAAATCCCAAATCAGTTTCACTGGGCCAAAATCAAGGTGTTGGTAGACTAACTCTCTTACCCTCTCATGCCTCTAGGCCAGGGTAAACCACTGCTTCATTCTTGCAGCTTTCCACGTTGTATTGCACATTTCAGCCTCTGTAGCCCAAACACCTTCTCTTTTGTAGTCATAAGGATACATGTCGTTGCATTTAGGACCCACCCTAATCGTCCAGAATAATCTGCACATTTTTATATCCTTCATTTAATAGTATCTGCAAAGTCCATTTTTGCCATACAAGGTAACATTCAGATGGTCCAAGAATTAAAGAGTGGGCCGGGGATTTAGTTTAGTGGTTTCATGCGCAAGCACAAGGACCTGAGTTCCATCCCCGGTACCAAAAAAAAAAAAAAAGAATTAAGGAGTGTCTATCTTTTGGAATGTCTCAGCCTACCACATCTGCCTCAAAATAAACTCAAAGCAATTAGGCAAGGCTGCACTAATCTCAAGCCGACTCTGATTTCAACTCTAAATTTTCAACACAATAAACAAAAGTTCTTTAACCTTATACCTCTTCTCACCTCACAATCTGCCCAAAACCAGGGAATCACTAATCCCACATTCATTAAAGCCATTACAAATTATCGTTAATGGTTCTTGCATGGGAAAAGAAGTGGTAAGGATTAAAACTCTCAAGAGCCAAGAGAGAGTAATACAGAATGGTGATTCAGGATCAAAGCTGTGTGACCTTAGGCAGCTGAATCTCTGCATAACTTGGTCTCTTCGTATGGCAAACAGGGCTAATAATATAAAAGTATGGGAAATCATTGACTTGGACCAAGCACCTGCACTGAGCCCACTAGGCCAAAACAATGTAGTTTAATCACAGTAATTGAGTTTGGCTGGTTCCAGAAGGCCCAATAACTAGTAAACTAATTAGATTATAGACAGGTAACTGTAATTGAATGACTGGTGTTTGAGCTGTAGCCAATTAAGTTGTTTTCCATGCCTCACTTTTGTTTTCCTATAAATGCTGTGTGATCACGATGTTGGTTGAAGCTCTCAGAATTGTCTCTACTTCTGTGAGCTATCCAATCTGCTGGTCATTTTTGTTTTGCTTTGCTCAAATAATTTCTAAGTGTAATTGCCCTAAGGAATTCTTTTAATACTACCCACCTTATACTCTAAGGGAGTTGATATTTATAAAACACTTAATGCTTGCCTATTCATAAAGGGTAACTGATTCCTAGCAATGCCCAAATATGGGGCACATAGATATTGATGGACAGGCTGAGAAATTTCTCACAACCAAAAATTGAGGGTCATAATTAAATGATACAATTAAACAATCTATTCAATGACTATTACATGTAAGATTGACATAAAGTCTATGAGAATTTTTCGAGGACACTCCTAAAAACTTCACCAACTTAAAGGCCTCTTTTCAAAGGACTGACCCACATCCTACAGATGGAGGCTTCTCTCAGAAGCTACCCACCCGTCTTGCTCTCAGATTACATCTGGTGGCCACAACTTAGTGTACTGCATGTTTTTAGTAGTAATGAAGAGGTACCACTGAAAGGCTTTTCACAATGAATAGACAACTGCTCTGTTCTCAAAGGGGAAAGGATAATCAGATTCAAGTATTGAGAGTGTGACCTACAGCGGGTTCCAAATTTACTGGTTCACCTAAATTCTATCTTCTTCACAAAGTCTATACCCAGCTATCTGCCTGTCCTCTCAGCCTCCTCCAACTGTATTGTTTCCTTTAGCTATACCCAGGATCTCAACACTCACTGACTAACATATTTTTTTTATTGAAGCCAAGTTTGTTAGTTCACAAATAGCCTCAAATGTTTGATTCATGGTGCAAACTAGCATCTAATTACAATAATTACAATAGACTATGCTATTTACACTGAACAATGGGGAGAGGTTCTAAGCTGCAAATTTTTTGTACAAAATTTCACAAGTGACTTAAAGCCCACAATCATACATTCAGTAGAAAACAAGATTTAAAAGAAAAAAAAACAAGATTTATCAGGGCTCAAAGTAAAACAGAATTTCAGTGGGCATCAAAGCTCTTGCTTTCTTAAATTGAGACAGGAGCAAAGTGACCACTCAGTTCTACGAGCTTATAGCTTTGTAGAAATGTGCAAAATATTAAACTATTCACACTCCTATCACGTCACCAACCACTTATCTCTCATTCCCCCTCCTCTTCCCCTCCCTCTCTGTCCTGCCCCAAGATCAGATGACTTGAGGACCTGAAGAAATTTAGGCTAACATTATTTCATCCTAATCAAGAAAAAGCCAAAGACTTGACATTTGGTAATAAAGCTTAACTACCAATCAACCACTCTTTCAGGCACTGCTGAGATTCTTGTCGGGTTCAAAGATCACTCTTCATCCTAAAAACAAGAGTCACTGTTGTGGGAAACCAAGGGCAGTGAGAGTAAGTGGACTAAGAGGAGCTACTTGGAAGGCAGCCTTAAGAGTGGGATACTGAGCCTTAGGCCAGAAACAGGTGGAGCTGAACTGGGACCTCCACCCTGTCTTAAGAATTCCAGCTCAGGGCTGGGATTTAGCTCAGTGGTTTCGCCACCTGCTGTGCAAGCGCAAGGACGCGAGTTCCATCCTGGTACCAAAAAAAAAAAAAAAAAAAGAATTCCAGCTCATCGGAGTAGACAGTCCCAAATCTGGTAGCATGCTCAAGCTCCTGGTGGAAACAGATTCAAAATATCTCCACAGAAAAGCATTCCCAGGGGCAAGGGTATAGCTCAATGACAGAGAGCTTGCTTAGCATGTGTAAGGCCCTGGTCTTGAGGTCCAGCATAGGAAGAAGGAGGGAGAGAAGGATGGAGGGGAGAAGAGGGCAAAGAAGGAGGGAGGGAGGAAGGGAAGAAGGAAGTGAGAGGGAAGGAAGGAAGGAGGCCAGCCTCCTAGAAATCCTACAGATTATGACAAAGCAATGAGGTTACAAGGATCAACACGGAAAAAGAGAGAGCAAGCCAAATCAAGGCAGACCATTCAAAAACAAAACATACCAGAACTGTTATATAAATAACAGCCAAGCAGAAAATGTCTAAAGAAATAAAAAAGAAATAAGGAACTATCTGGAATGCCCAGGAAGACTTGAAAGTGGTACTTGTCAAAACAAAAAATAAATGCTAAAATCAAATATTCAGAACAAGTTAAACAGCAAATTAGACACAGATGATGACAGAATTAATGAACTGGAAGATATACCTAAAGAAATTACCATATTAATTCCAAAGATAACAGAGAGTCCAAATTACTTCTAAATGAATTATTAAGTCATTATTCAAGTCAAACTCCACAAATAGTATTTTAGATGTGCCTATTAGTTTTCGAGCCTAAAAGTATTGTCTTTTAGAAGTCATCTTTACAAAACAAGTGACATGCTGAAAAGGTCGAGAGAAAATACCTAAGAAATGAAAAAGACTAGAACACGAATCTTCTGCTATGCCTTCAATAAAACTAAACATAAACATTGATTGGAAAATTATATCTCCTGTATTCTAGACTCTAAGAGTCAAGACAAAATAAAATGAGTTTGTTAGCCCAAAATAGATCCTAAAGGGAAGAAAAGTCGTCCCAGTGAATTCTTCTCATACTGGGCAGAATCTTTCACTGTCAAATTAACTCTCTCCTAATCATCCTTCAAATCTGTAAAATAACAATCAAATATAGTACAGAACTGACCCTACCAGTACAAAATGCCACCATTCTTGTGGCCATCGGCAGCTCTAAATAACGAGTTTCAAATACTTTGACTTCTTTCCAAACTAAACAAACATTCTTTAGCTATGACCACATGGCCCGCCAAGTTTTAAAACAAGCTGTCTCAACTTGAAAAAATGTACCTACCTTAAAAAGTTCTCATTGGATTAGAATATTAATCAAAAAAAAGAAATACTATTGCCTAAAGTTTCACTTTATGCCTATAGCCTCTTACACTAAGGGATAGGGGAGAAGGATGACTAAAAAAGCAAAATGCAATGTCCACCTAGATGACGTCAATACATATACATTTGAACTGCTTTTCACTTCAGCTTTAAGAAAGGTGGGGCAGCACGAAGATGGGGCATTTGTCACAAGATCTGAATCGGACCCTGTCGTTGTCGACCTCTGAAGACCGGCAGCTCTAGATACCTAGAATAAAATGTAGTACCCCCTCCCAGTTTGTTCACCCTTAGCTGTCAACCAAGTCAGAGTCCAATGGGCTTGAAGGATACCCGGACCCTAGTCGCAGCCCCTCTGATGGACGGAACCGCTCCACGCGACACTTACAAACTTGGAGCGTTTCTCCCCGGGCTCCTCGAGGCTGCCGAGCAGCGGAGGGTGCTGAGGGCCCTTCCTGCGAGACATCTTGCTTTCCCGGCAGCTGCGGAGCGAGGCGGAGGAGGGATAGGGGGCCCCGGCGGCGAAGCCCTGGGCCGGGTGGTGCAGCCGCGGCCTGTGCCTCTCCATCTCTGTCTGCGGGTCGGGGATCGGACAGAAGGCAACAGCTCAGCACGCCACGATCAGAAAGCTCGGGGATCCTCGGGGGTCCTCCTTCCCGATTCAGCCACTCGCGCCTTCAACTCAGCTCAGCCCAGCCCAGCCCAACCGCTGCAGCCAGGGCCGGTGCCAAGACTTCCGAAATCTCCCGCCACCACTGGCCCGCTACGGACTCGCCAATCCCGTACAGTCGGGTCAATTACATGGCGGGGTGCCGCCCCTTCCGGAAGAATTCCAAAATCCGATTGGCTATGCTGCCCGTCCATTCCGCTACTCAACCCTTCCGGCGGTCTGTGATCCTCACCTTGTGAGTTTAAACTCAGGCTGAAGGCGGGTTTGGAGATTCACTGAGAACTCATCAGAAAGTCACTAGCCTGGATTTAGTTGGAATTGAAGAACCTGGAATGTAGAAAGACTGGCTCTATGATCTTTGAGCGGCGCAGGAATGTAAAATCCCTTGCTAACCCTTTTGCACGTCTCGGGAGACCTCGGTGCGTTGCCGCTGGGAAAAGTAGTTGTAGGGTAGGTGCTGGAAAGGGTGGTAGACGAGAGCCCCCTCGACCCCACGGAAAGACGCGTACTAGACATATTTAGTGGGCACCTGCAGAGCGTCTAACTGGTGAGTGCTCGCTTTGGGGTAGCAGAGGGTTCCACCAAAAATCAGAATGTGCCTGGCTAGGCCATGTCCTTAGTGAGCTCGCAGTGCAAGGTGGTTCGCAAACCTTTACACAAATGATAAAGTGACGTTGCCGCACTTGTTCTACAAGATCGTTGGGAACACAGTAAATTGGAAGGCTCAGATCTGGGGGAACAAAACGAACGATGCGTGGATTTTCAGTAGGCAGAAAAGAGTATTCCTATAAAAGGCATTCCAGGCCAGAGTAAGGACAAACAGGGTCAAGAGCACGAAGTCGAAGAAATAGGCATACATAATGAAGGACCTTATGAAACCATGCTGAAGAATTTGTTGTGTATACCCAAGATCAGCTGTGAGGCTAAAAGTTTTCTCATACACCAGTGTGCTTTTTCTCCTTTTAAAGCCATCTTTTCCTTTGAACTATTTCCTTAAACTATCGATCTTCTCATTATATGGAAGTGATGTGGGTCAAGCCTCTAGTAAACATGCAGTATTGATTGTGGTACAAGAAAAGAGGCTCAGAAAAAAAATGGATCTTAGTTCCAGCTAAGTCTTCACTCTACAACAATTTTGGTTTAGGGACTTTTGTTTTAGTGATGCCAAATTCAGTACCAGTCTCTGTCCTCAAAGAAAATCTAATCTTAGGGAAACTTCCAAGGAATCAGCAAGATCAGGAGAACTAGAAGTAATTCCTTATGTCTTCATGACAGATGCAAATTTTTATTAATAGCGAGTTACTATTTTATGGGATCACCTGCGAGACAAGCATTATTTTAATGTAAATATTCAGAGACATAGCGATAAGGTTGGCAGGTATTTACGTACACTGATGCAAATGTAATTTACTGGACAAGTAGGCAAATACCTAAGCAGTTTATCCCAACCCGGTCCAGCAGAGCACAACCAAGTTTCAACATTTCAATTTTAAAATTAAAAAGATAAGGTTAAGTACACAAGATCAATTTGTATAGTATATATTCACCCTCAGAACATGCTGAAGATGTTTTGTGTAGTTCTGTTGCACAGAGGGTTCTTTCCCCGAGGACACTTAAGGAACTCTGGAACTGTTAATAGTTCTCTATTTTGTAACAGAATAGCAATTTTAAAATCTTTAAAAAAAAATACATTACCTTCAACATGGAAGATCTCACTATTAAATATCCATGAAGTAGACAGACTGGTTTGCATATCCTTTTTGGAATTACAAACAGCAAATAAAGTACATTGGAAGCATTCAAAATATAATAAGCACATATTTATAGAAAGGTTCTGATATAAATTATATAGCAATCATGTTCCTGTAATATCCTAGTCTAATTTATAATGTCAGAAATAAGTTAATGTAACAGGGTTTAATGCTCTTGTTCCTATTCGCTTCAGGTTACATAGTGAAATAAATAAAATGTCTTTGTAAGGATGAGGAGCACTGGGCCATGGCAAAAAGGTACAGTACTGACCAAAGGAAACTAAGTCAAGGCTACTGTGCTGTTATGCTACAAACAAACATCTTCACACATTTGAGTATTAAAATAATGTGTAAGATCTTCCACACTGACACCAGAATATCAAAACCACCCCTTTGTTTCTCAGGTGTATTTACAACTTATCAGTCAATTTATGAGCATGTTCATTAAGACAGGTATCAAACACCAGTATTTACTCATTCTGATCAAGAAATTTCAGGGAAATTTCAACCCTCCCACCCCTGGAAATGTGCACAAAACTTTTATCAAAATCTTATCTTAAGGCAGGGGATTTAGCTCAGTGGTTCGCCACCTGCCTCACAAGCTCAAGGTCCCAAGTTCGATCCCTGGTACCAAAAAAAAAAAAAAACAATCTTATCTGATACAGTGCTGCGGTTTTGTAAAATAACTAAATAGCTCAGATGACCAATAGCATGATCCTGTTTAAGCAGACAGATGCAAATTTTATTCCTGATGTTTACTAGCTATATAATGTTGGAGATGATCTTTAATGTTTTTTGCTTCTCCATTTTAAAAGGGAGGTAATAATAGTAATATTTACCAAATAGTAGTATTTTTCAGGCTTAAATGAGATAACATATCTAAAGCTCTTAAAACTGTCATTTCCTCCAGCCAAAGACCACCAAGAGGAATTACCTGTACTTGGAACAATCCTGTTGGGTTTGTTACAGAGAATGAGAGTATGCACTATGGCGAGTCAGGTCATCTCAGGATGAGGGTGTTAAGAAAGCACTTAACAGATTGGGCTTTGGTTAGGTGATTTGGAGAAAATTCCACAGAATAGAGCGAAAAGAACTGCTCTGTATTTTGTCCTGTCAGGAAGGGGAGACAGTTCGATGATTGGGTGTCTTTGTAAACCTTATTCAGGAGCATGGCAGGCTAAAGCTATAGCTGACAATACAGCAGTCATTCCTATGAGTGTGTGGAAGGGGTGGTCAAAAGATAAAATTACGACAAATCTAGTTTAAAGATCTAATTGGCTGGTATTTGTAATTCTAAAATAGAACAATATCTCATTCTATAAATTAAGTGTTCTACTGAGCAGAGCAAAGGAGTATGGCTTTATAGGAAGAAAAGGGCTGAAGAAAGCAGAAATAAAGAATGAAAAGCAGATTTGTTTTTTCATTTACTTTCCTTATAGGGTCAAAATAGAGGGAACTTTCTTAGCATAGCAGCTTGTATAAACCAGGCCTCTTCTAATTGATTACAGTAGGTCTCCTAGGGTTTTTGTTTGTTTTGTTTTAACCAGTCTGTTTCGGAGTTTAAGTTGAATGCACAGCTATAAACAAGGGTGACTCCACTCTAGTTTGGTCTTTCTGCTGGAGCCTACTTAGCTCAGCAGCTTGTCCCAAAACAGCTGAGTCAAAGATGCCTTCCCATGAATCTATTTAATGTTGATATTTTGTTCTTTGCACACTGACCTTTTTTTGTCTGTGTTTAGACAAAATTAGGAAGTGGTATTGTTTTGTCTCATTTCATCATGGTCACAGAATGACCTTGTATGATTTTGGCGTTCTGTAAGAGGCTATCCATCAGGAGAACAACATAACCTAGCTTTGAGTGGCAGGTCAGTTTGTGAAAAACACTGAGCATAGCTGTAAAGTGTCAAACTAGTTCCCTGATGTCAAAGACTGTTGTTTTCTTTCTCATATCCTCAGCACATAAAAAATAATAAACAGGAGCTAATCATTGATTTTCAAGTTTACGTTGAACATTCTGAATTTTTTCTCATAGAAATGCTTTATGACCATAATGCATCCCTGAAAATAGTATTACTGTACTAACTTTGTATAACTTTACATTTATGTGTGTTTATTACTTAAAGCTCACAGTAGCATATACTGCCTCTTGTTCTGATGACTCAACAAGAAGACAATACACTCCAATGAGTCAGTAATTATGGAAACACTACTTTGTGCCAGGCTTAGTGTGCAGGGGTGAAACAGAGTTGAAGCAAGGAAAAAACAAAACAAAACGTATATAAATAATTATGCAGGGGATTTATTAGGTAAGCTTACAGGATCAGAGGCACAAAAGTCCACCATGGCTGACTGTGTTTTAGAGAGTCAGAGGACACAGTAGTTACTCAAAGAAGTTTTAAACTGCAGAGCATGTGGGATCAAGAAGACAGCACATCAGTCTGAGACTGAAGGCCTGGAAGCTCCCTGGAGATGCCCTGGTGTCATTCTGCATTGAAAGACTGGAAAGAAATTGGAGTCTAATATCCATAGGTGATAGCAGTAGCAAAAGATGCACCAGTTCAAGCAAAAAAGGAGCTTATCAAACCTAGGCCAACTTCCTCCTTCTTTTCCTTTCATTCCATTCAAGCTGCAACCCAATTGAATGGTGCCACCTACAATATGGATGAGTCTTCCCCCATTTTGGCGACTTATATGCCAATCATCTATCTCTAGGAACACTCCACAAACACACTCTGAAATGTGCTTTATTAATCTACTAGGCATTTCGAATTCCATTCAAGTAGACATTATCATCATTAACTGTCACAATATTCTTTATCATTTTTTTATACTTCAACCTTCAGATAATTACTAATGTCATCCTCTTAAAGGTTCACTTTGAATGACAATAGAAAAAATTGGAGAAAGTTGAAGAAAGGAATTGATCATCCCTATTAACTGGGGGAAAAAAAACTACCATTCTGCCCTCAAATTTACCAGAATTACAAAGTTCCATGTCATCAAATTTGGCCAATGTGTAACAACACATGAATTGCCACATTGATGGTGGAGGTGCAAAAATTTGGGCAATCACTTGGTAATGCTAGTAAATGGTCAATGCACCTATAACCCAGAAATTCTATACCTACATATCACCCTGGAGAAACCCATATTGGTGAGTCCCACACCCATGGATTCAACCAACCAAGGATGGAAAATATTTGAAGAAAAAAGTTGCATCTGTACTGAACATGCGGAGACCTTTTCTTCTTATCCCCCAAACAATACAGTATAACAACTATTTACATAGAATTTGCATTACTTTAGGTTTTATAAATAACTAGAGATGATTTAAGTATACAGGATAATTGCATAGGTTGTTGCAAAAATTATACCATTTTATATGCAACTTGGGCATCTTCAAGTTTTGGTTAGGGCAGGTGTTTTGGAACCAATCCACCAAGGATACTGCAGGACAAGTGTATTCATTTCTCTTGAGCATATACTGTTAAAGAAAAATTAC